TCATAACTCTAATTCATTTTATAAAGTTTTACCTCTAAGACAACCAATGCTAATGGTAGGACTTGGTGGCTGTCCACCTCCTAGTGGTTGTGCATGCCCACCACCCCCTCCTGTTGTTGGTGGATGTCTACCACCACCTCCTCCTTCTGTTGTTAGTGGACGTCTACCACCACCTCCTCCTAGTGCTTATGCATGCCCACTTCCACCACCTCCTCCTGTTGTTGGTGCATGCCCACTTCCACCACCTCCTCCTCCTAGTGCTTATGCATGCCCACCTCCTCCTTCTCCTCCTGGTGCATGCCCACCTCCCCCTGGTAGTTCTTCAATAGTTATAGACCAAGAAAAAATTGTACAACAACAAGAAAATATAAAGGAATGTTTATTTGAAAAGATTGTCAAATGTCAAAAAGCGGCAGGAGAATTTGTAGGAATTGACACATTAATTAAAGAAATAGATAAGTTTAAGAACACACAATTTGATCAAACTGTTGTTCAAACATTCTTTGTAGTTCAATTACTAAAAGAGAAATTTGTAGAAAATAAAATTGAATGGAAGTTGCTTGTGAAGAAAGCAGAGAAATGGTTAGAAATGAAACAACCACTTCCTGAAGAAATAAAAGCACAAATCATGTCATTAGCTAAATCAATCATTTTAAAATAAAGAAAAGAATAAAAAGCAATGAATTAAAATTAATTCTTTACTCTTGGTTCTGTTTTTAAGGATTTCTCATATTTCAACTTCTCATCTGTGAGAATTCCATCATCAAAATAATAATTTTTAATGAAACAAATAATCTGTGGAATAGCAACAATATCATATTTTGTATCTTTGAACCGTATTACATTATTGATACACTCAAATAATCTTAATTTCTTATCCACATTAATTTTATCACCAGCCATATCAGGATTTCCATCATCCAAAAAAGTGTAATCTGTAAGGTATGTTCCAATAAATGGAAGACATGGTGTTGTAAAAATGTCTTTAACTTCATTTCTGAATCCTCCAAAGTTTCTTTGGAATAATCCACTTAATCGATCAAACTCTGCTTTATTTGGGTCTTGATTCACTACTTCCCATGTTCTTTTCATTCTGAAAATAGCAGCATCTCCTAATGACCCTGTCAATGAATATAATAAATCGTAATTTTTAATTGCATGTGCTTTAATACCTAATGATAGAATCTTTTTTACTAAAGTAATTCTTTCTTCAAGACTTTCTGTATTTAATATCATATTAACAAAGAAACTAGAAATGAAATTAAACATTTGTGTTGATGCTATAATATTTGGTGCTTTATGTCTTAATTTAGCTTTAGCCCATGCTTGTCCAAAGAATTCACTTGGTTCTAATTTATAAAAGATTGATGCTTCCATATATGTAAATTGTGATACAATTACATCATCATCTATATCAATAAATTTAACTTTTGGAATTAATTTATCAAATAAATTCTTCATTTTTTCTGGTTGTGGTAATTGTTCTTTAGTATCAGTACTTTCATCTAATCTTAATGGTGAAATGATACAACTTTGTTTAATTAATGGATTAAATCCTTTTGTTTTATGATCCATTTCAATAGAATTTTTTAATGTTCCAATTTTACCTTTTATCACAGCTGCAACAGCCCCTTCAACTACTTTAAGATGTTCTTCCATTAATCGAATTAATCCTTTCTTTACAGTAACATCATAACTAATAGCAAATGAATCAATCCATGTTTTAATAACACCAGCAACTTTAGAACTAATAGCAGCTTTATATTGATCTTTTGTTGCTTTATTTTCAGGTTCAAAATCTTCAGGAATATCTAATCGTTCCATTAATTTAAGGAAAAATTTATCTGGTGTAGTAATAGTAGTTAAAAACATACAAATAGCTTTAACAAAAATACCTGCACGAGAACCAAAAGCAGTTAATTTAAAGACAATAGTATTTAAATTCATATTCTTTTCTGATGCATCTTCAAGAGTAACATCAGGAAATTCTGTTCCTTTAAGATGTAATACTTCAGGATCTTCATATAATTTCATAGATTCATCTGATTCTTGTACTAATGAATTTAATCCAATAGATTTAAAATGTTCATTAACAGTTTCTGTAGAAGTATGTTTATCTTCAACAACATAATCATATACAATATCACTATTATGAATTGAATTATAAAGTGAATATAATAATACACTTTTATTTAAATTATGTTTAGGTGTTTTTATACCACTTTCTATTTCAAGTATTTTTCTACTTTCGTTATATCCTTTTACATGTAAATGTTGTAAAATAATTCGAATCATTTGTTCTTTACTTATTTTATCTTTTACTTTTTGAATTCCTGGATTTAATTCTTTAACTAATGCTGTTGTACGTTGAAGAGGATAAACAATTTCTCTAACCCTTTGAAGTACTGGAACGTCTTGATAAATTTTTTCTTTCCAATCTGCATGTTGTCCATCTAGATGTTGATCAGGATATTTAACACTTTTAATGTTTGTATCTTCAGATGGATCAACATAAAATTTATCACTTTGTAAATTACCTAATATTTCCTCAACTTTTTTCATTTCAATAGTTGGATAAATTCCTGGTGTTTTTGTATGACTTGAATAATGTGAAGATCCATCATATGATCCAGTATAACTTCCTTCTGGTGTTGTAATTCGTTCACTCGATGCATTACTTCCAAATGATGTTTGTGGAAGATGTGGAATTGATTTCTTATAAGATGCATTATAAGAAGCTGATCCTATTTTAACTGCTGAACTTACAGATGGTGATGATGGAACTTCAATGTTTGGTGTTTTAGAATGAGGTCCAGTTAATGGGGGAACTTCTGTAGATTGCATAAGTCCAGATGGTTTCATTGGGGTTTGTGAAGTTGTATTAGAACTAATGACGTTTTGGTTTTTAAATGATCTTCTTCCAATTCTAACACCTTCAGAAAGTCCATTTGGTAACGAATTTGGCATAGATGGTTGACTCATTGTTATTGATCTGAATATTCTTTGAACTTAAAATCTTATTTCCAAAAAACAAAAAAAATCTATTTTCAGTACATTTTTTTAAGAAATACTTTAAAATCTTACTTTAAAACACTAACACTTCTCTTCTCTAATAGAAAATAAAAACATCGCTCATAACCAAAATAATTTTATTCATTTTGAACATAAAAATTGAAACCGTTTAAATTAAATCATAAATACTCTTTTCTTACAAATTGAGATTGAATTGAAAACAAATTGTTTATTGTAAAATTCTTTTCAAACACTCTTTAAAACGATCAAACTATTATAGAATATTATAGTGTATTTCATTTTTTAAATATTCTATCAAATAATTAGAAAGTTAATTATTTTTGTTATTAGAGAATTTCTCTTCAAAAAATTTTAATACTATTGAAATAATAAACGTATTCAATTAAATAGATGGTTACAAAGCTTAATATGTTATGAGAATTGTTATGACTATGATAACTGTTTAAGTGTAAAGAGTGCACACTCATATTATTATCAACTAAGATAATTAACTAAAAATAAGAAAGTCAGCTCAGTGTAATTAAAAGTATTATACAAATGATAGAGGTTGTTTTAGTTGTGAGACAGAGTATCCTATTTGTAAAGCATAGTCTTTATATTATTTGTCAAAACCAATGTTTTATGACAAAAACTGGTCATTATAAATTAAAAAATGGTGTTATTGAATTTACAAAGAGTTTCAGTTAATAAGACTATATTAGTTGTATTGATGGGAGGGATTATTTAAAGTCAAGTGGTGTCTATATCTTATGTACTAATGTGTTGTTTTTAGTTAATGGAAAATGCAAGCCATGTCTTACAGTCAAAGGCTGCAAAGAAACAGATAATTTAAAACTCTCAAAAAGGCTCATCTTATTATCAAGCTAATGAAGAATGAACAAAAATAAAAAAATTATTAGTGTAGTGGGTTGTTGTGTTTTGGTACATGATTTGTATTGACGTTGTTAGTATTACTCATAACACTTCTTGTAGTAGTCATAAAGTATAGAATAAACACAACAGAAGAAACAGAATTAGAAGGCAATACTTTTATAATAAAACGTTCCAACACACTGCTCATTTAATTGTGACGAACCATTTGTTATTAAAATAAATGAAGTAGGGTTTGAACATAGTAAAAGAAAGAAATTGGTTATAATTGAGAAAGAAGCTTATGCATTGATTTCAGTATGAAATTAAGTAATGAAAGAACCATTTATTGTTATGAGTTTCTCATAATAAAACAATTCAAAGTAAAAATTGAACCAGAGGTGTACCATTAACAGTAAAAGGCGTGTGAATTTAGGACATAAGTAATAGCGCTATGTATAGTCAAAGAAGAATAAAGTTCTTTAACTATCTTAAAGATAAGAAAATAGAAGAAGAGAAGGAACAAAGACAAATTAGTTCCAACCAAGTTTGAAACAGAGGTATTAACAAAACTAGGTCATGATGAAATTATAACAGAGCATTTGAAATGGTTCTATTCTTTAAAGGCTTCTTATTGAATCTTCTTATTTATAATAAGAATGGAGAAACAAAATTATTAAATAATACTCTCTTTAAATAATTTTCTTTTTTATTAAATAAATTGACGTAGTTTATTTCTCTTTCCTTATTGATAAAAGAAATTAATCAATTTACAAAAATATAGGATTTACTTTGATGTTTTCAGTGTGTCACTAGCAAAAAGATAACTTATTCTAATATATTTTGATCTATCTCAATAAATTTGTTTAATGAATTATTTTTTCTCTAAAAAATGAAATGAAAACAATGAAATAAATTACAATGGAGTTATAAGAATGCGTGTTTTTTTTATTTAGTCATTTTTTTAATTTATTATTAATGTTTTCTCTAAATAAGTTTTTTAGTAAAAAAAAATACTAAAAATTCTTAAATTTTAGGAAAAAATGTCTTAAACTTTAACTTTTTAGTAAATGAACACCAAAAATAGCTAAATAACAATAAAGCAATTTTTTTTTTTTGAAAAATAGTATAGTTATAGTATTTTATATTTTAAAAAGTATAATAAATTAAAAAAAAGAAGAAATAGAAGATAAAATTACAAGGAAAGTAAAAATATATAAGTATAATTTTATGATGATAAAATAATTAAAATATTAAAATTCAAATGAAGAACCATCTCTTCCTTAATCAGATTAAAAAAAGAACATGTTCTATTGTCTAAAAACAATAATATCTCTATATATACTCCTCTGAACTTTTTTTTCCTTTATGATTTCATTGTTCTTATTGATAAGCGTTGCTTTTGTCAACGCTACTGACCCAACTGATATTACTAATTATCCATACGAAAAAAGTCAATACTTTGATACTAATAAAAAATTTACAAGTGCTCTTAATAGTTATCAAGTTCAAAGATATGCTGAAAGAGGTGTTTTCAGTGCAAATCAAGAAAATTATGTTCGTGCTAAATGTAAGACATGTTGTAGAGTTATTTTTGCTTCTGATTATAATTATGAAACTGGAAAAAAATTCACTGATGCTGATGATGTCAGAGGAGATACTAGATATGTTATGGATATGGAATTTGATAATAAAAATTCCCTTAGAATGTATCAAGGAGACTATGAACAAAATATTCTTTTAAGACCATTGAAAATGGGAAATGAACTTCAATTCTTTGAATTTGCACCATATAAAATGTATACATCATTTTCAATTCCTAGAAGAGTCCATGATATTAGAGGAGGAGCTAATAAAGGAGCAACATTAATTATTTGGATGAAGAAAGCACCATTAGATCCAGGAACAAACAATCAAAGATTTGTTTATGTGCATCCATATCCAACATCATTTTATCCAGAATATAGTAAAACAAACAAATGGCCAAGTTACAGTAAACATTTCTATCTTCCATTCTCCAGCAATAACCTTTGTTATGAAGCTAAAAAGAAGACAGACGGTAGATCTACATGGACTGGAAATGCACATCTTACAACAACTAGTACAAGTTATCAAATTGCAGCTGCAATGTGTAATCCATCAGAGCCAAGACAGATGTTTGTCCCAGTTTTTGCTTAATTTTTTCACTGAATTGTTTTATTTTTCTTTTTGGTTTTAAAGAAGTTGTATATAGTTTTTTATAACTTTTACATCATGTATTTTTAAATAACTCTTTTTGTTTTTTAGGAAAAATACATTTGAGATTTCATTTTTGTTACTCGTTTTCAAATTACTTTTTAACTCTCTTATTGAAACAAAATTTTGTTTCTATTCTTTTTGTTAATCAAAATTTGGGTTTGTTTATTAACACATAGATATGTGGTCTTAAATGTTTATCTACGAGAGTATTAGTTCGTTAAAGTATTATACTTTTTAGATGAAGCTATTTATTATTTCATAAAACAAGTTAAGGTTATTCACAATGAAATAATAATTTATGTCATAACAAACAAAAAACAAGAAAAAGTTATTTGAGCATTAAATAAGTTATGCTTAATTAGTTCAATGGAACATCTCGCTGTTCTCTTGTCCACCCTGGATGTTCTGAAACTTTTCTGATAACTCTTGCAGGATTACCAGCAACAATTGTATTATCTGGAACGTCACGAGTAACTACAGAAGCAGCACCTACAACGGAGTTTTCTCCAATTGTAATTCCTGGAAGAATAGTTGCACCTGCACCAATCCAAGCACCATCTTTAATTACAATAGGAAGTCCATATTCAACCAGAGAATTTCTAATGAGGGGGTCAGTTGGATGAGTAGCTGCAATAAGTTGGACATTAGGACCAATCAAGACATGATTACCTATTTTAACGTAGTTAGCATCTAATACTGTTAGGTTATAATTAACAAATGTATCATGACCAACAGAAATGTATTTACCATAGTCACAACGAAATGGAGGAAGTATACAACTATTTTCTCCAAGATTTCCAACAATATCCTTCAGCATTTCTAATCTCTTTTGTGCATTTCTTTCACAATTAAAATCAATAATCTTCTCACAACAAGATTCTCTTTCACGAGCTAACTCTGGAACTGTACTATCATATAACTTTCCATCAAGCATTAAACCTCTTTCATCAAAGGTAGGTGTTGCCATTATTATTATTAACTTTACAATTTATATAATTCTTTTGTTATTTTAAAACGTGGATAGAACTTTGCT